TAACGTTGTAGCCGATGCCTTGAGCCGAAAAGCCGAGCTTTCTGCAATCACTTCAACAAGATGGGACATTCGCGAGGCTATAAAAGAAGGCATGCAACATGATCCAGCAGCCAAACAACTTATCGAGTTAGCCAACCAGGGCAATACAAGACGTTTTTGGGTCGAAGACGGCCTACTACTTACCACAGGTCGGTGGGTGTACGTGCCTAAGTTTGGAGACATTAGATGGCGGATCATAAGGGAGAATCATGACACAATGTAGGCTGGTCATCCAGGCCAATGTCGCACTAGGGCCTTTGTTGAGTCAGTCTATTATTGGCCACGCATGCGAGATGATATAGAGTGTTATGTGCAGACTTGTCTTGTCTGTCAACAGGACAAGGTTGAGCAACAAAAACCAGGAGGACTTTTGGAGCCACTACCAGTTGCAGAACGTCCATGGGAGAGCGTGACTATGGACTTTATCACTTGCCTACCGAAATTCGACGGTTATGGTACTATTATGGTGGTGGTGGATAGGTTTTCCAAATATGCTACCTTCATGCCCGCCTCACCAGGTTGCACTGCCAAGGAATCCGCCAAACTATTCTTTAAGAACGCGGTGAAGTATTGGGGCTTACCAAGGCATATTATCAGTGATCGAGACCCCCGCTTTACTAGAAACTTTTGGAGAGAGTTATTCGACATACTTGGCACGGAACTGCACTTTTCCACTAGTTTCCACCCACAGACGGATGAACAAACAGAATGGGTCAATGCCTTACTAGAATGCTACTTGAGGCATTATGTAAGCGCGCATCAGAAAGATTGGGCAAGGCTCCTAGACATCGCCCAATTCTCTTATAACTTGTAGCGGAGTGAGTCCACGGGGCAGACACCATTTGAGCTAGCCACAGGCCAACAACCACAAACTCCACATTCATTACCAGTCGCGTTCGAGAGAAAGAGTTTGGGGGCTTATCATATGGCCAAAGGATGGGAGGAGCAGCTTGACACTGCTAAGTCCTACTTAGATAAGACAGCTAAGAAAATGAAGAAGTTTGTGGACCGTAAGCGGCATCCCACGGACTACAGATTTGAGAACATGATCATGGTGAAGTTTAACCCAAGACAGTTCAAGGCATTATGGGGCATGCATCAGAATTTGATTCACAAGTATGAGGGGCCATTTAAGATCGTCGCCAAGGTAGGCAAGATCTCATACAAGCTTGACATGCCATCATATCTTAAGATCTACCATGTCTTCCATGCCAGCATGCTTAAGTCATATCATGAAGACAAGGATGATCCAAGTAGGGGCCAATCAAGTCGAGCGCCTATTACTATCACCGCCTCGCACGACCAGGATATTGAGGCTATTATTGATTACCAGGCCAGGCGAAAACAAGGGGAAAAAAGCCACCGCAATGTTCCTCACCCATTGGAAGGGGAAATCTCTTGAGGAGGCCACGTGGGAACAATATGAAGACTTATGGCAATTCAAAGATAAGATCCGAAAGTTTATGCAGCAACATTGCTCCGCGGTCGTCGCAACATTAGGTGGGGGAGAGTGTGACGACCCGCCATGTCACCATGCCACATAGGCACCATTTGGCATATATTAATACCATATGGAAGCTTACATAGGAGAAAAGCTAGTATTTGTGAGAAGATTCTAGAGAAGTATGGACATTTCCTTTGGAAGATCCTAGATACATATGGATTTGCTAAGAAAGTCCTTTGAATCTTCTAGGCTTGTAGAGAATTCTAGAGAAAGCCCTTATCTTGTAAATATTAAGGACTTGTGTAACAATTAATATTTACATACTAGCCCCTAGGAGACTAGTATATAAAGGGGGCCATTCATTTGTAATTTATCAAGCAAACAATTCAAGTTCTCTCTAATACAAAGCTTTCTTTAATAATTCTCTTATGTTCTTTCTACCATTCTCTTAGCGATCTTGAGTGTAGTAAGGCTGACTTGGCATAGCAAGAACGTGAGCAAGTTGTGCAAGATCGTGAGCGAGTTATCAAGTGCCGCACGTGTACTTACTTAACTACTAAGGACGTGACACTAAGCCCAAGTCTGATCAAGAAGAGATTGCTATAATTGGTTTAGGAGTTTTAAATAAATGTCTATGTATGACTTGTTTGGAAGATGATAAGGGGGGTCTTGCAATATTGGTCATGAAGGATTACGGAGTAAAAGAATCATGGACTTCCTTATTTTTCATAAGGAATATAGAATTAAGAAGTCTTTTTTATGGATTTGTAGCGTCTTTTTCCTGACAGAGAATGGAGAATTAGTTTTGATAATAGAGGATCATGAAAAAAAAGGTATTGTATACAATCTTAAGAATGATAAAATGAGAGACATTGTCGTCGAGGGAGAGGTTATATGTTCCCCCATTATTACCTATGTCGAAAGCTTGATCTCGCCGGAGGAATACTACTGGAGTGAGGAGCAGCACAAATTGTTTGGACAGCCATTGGAAATTACCCGTTTTTTTAATGATGACAATTAGCATAAATGGCTTTTGGAGTGATGGATTTAAGCTCTGTTTCATATTCCTTCCTAGTTCATTCTATGCATAAGAAAGAAAGTACCCAATTGGTATTACATGAATTGTGTAACTTTTTAATGTGTGAAATATAGTATTTTCTTTAAATTAAACAAAAAAAAAGGTGCTTAAGCCCTGAAGTGAGGCGCTAAATATGTTGAGCGCTTCACCTCGCTTAGCTGGCACTTCAGTATCGTCTTCAAGGCTTTAAGGCATATTGTTTCTTGCAAATGAGTGTAATCGTGATGAAGCTACACTAAACAATTGATATTTTACTTTATTATAAAAAAAATTAAAATTTCTTTCTCCTTATATATGTTATTTTTACTTATAATTGTTAGTCTTAGACTACACATACATATTTGTAATGTTTCTCCTTTTGCCCTTTTTTTTAATTAAAGTCCAGATTTGGCGTTTATGGGTTCCTACCATAATCTAAAATTAATATGAAATAATAATTGGATTCACAGTTAGATATTTACAGTATTTAGTAAATTTCTTAATATAAATGCAGGGTCTATGCAAAAGTTATTGGGTTCCCGGGAACCCATATTTAATGCTCTAGGCCCGTCACTGTTAAAGCCCACACTTTATTTATTAAAGCCCCAACGGACCTTAGAGTTTTTTTGTGCTTTTCGCCTTTGATTAACAATGGTAACTTTCTTTGCGAGCTCAGCTATTGGGATTGCACGTGAAAGATTGTTGTAGTGTATATTTGACTGGTCATTTTTATATATTATCTATCAACTGTAATTGTATTACTTTTTCTCCTTGCTTGTGAGATCGTACTTTCAGCTGTTTTTGTTTACTACTATGTGATACTCCAAATTATGTATTATTTAGCAAGCTATTGTCAATAAAAGAATGTTAAGTAGTAGAAGAGGAAGAGGAGGAGGAAGAGGAAGAAGAGGAGGAAGAAGAGGAAGAAGAAGAAGAAGAAGAAGAAGAAGAAGAAACCTGAAATTGTTTAAACAGTGGGTACAAGTTAAATGGGAGCAACCAAATAGGGCGCCCCAACCACACTTCTTGCTTCTCAACACTCCCCCCCCCCCCCCCCCCCCCAAGTTGATCTTTAGTTGGAATGTACTCTCTCTTAACTAACCCCTTTTGAATCTTTTCCCTTATGAAATGACAGTCAATTTCGATATGTTTAGTCCTTTCATGGAAGACTGGGTTTGACGCTATTTGAATTGTTGCTTTACTATCAGTGAAAATGCTTACAGGCAATTCTACCTTAACTCCAATGTCTTTGATCAAGCCAAGAATCCATATGAATTCTGCTATAGTAGATGCAATACTTCTGTACTCTAACTCAGTAGCGCTTCTTGATATGGTACTTTATTTCTTTGATTTCCATGATACTAGTGAGTCCCCCAACTTAATCATGAATCCAGTTACAGACTTCCTGGTGAATGGACACGCTGCCTAGTCAGCATCACAATATGTTGTGACTGTATGCTTCTTATTACTTGACAATAGGATGCCTTGACCAGGCTAACTCTTCACATATCTTACTATCTTTTGAGCTTCTTCAATGTGTGACTTCTTAGAGTTTTGTAGAAACTGACTTAGTGTATGCACACTAAAATAAATGGCAAGTCTTGTGACTGTTAAGTACAGGATCTTTCCCATAAGTCTCTAATATCTTCTAGGATCATTCAACATATAGTCATCAGTTGTTTTGGCAGCCCCTACATGCTCATTATATTCACTTGTAGTGAGCTTCATATTTGGTTCAAGTGGGGTGTTTGCAGGCTTAGCAGCTCCCAAACCCATATCAGAGATGAGTTCTAATGCATATTTTTTTTGGTGCATGAGAATACCTTATTGTGACCTGGCAAACTCAATGCCAAGAAAATATTTTAGGTCTCCTAAGTCTTTCATCTCGAAAGCTTGGTGTAGTATTTTCTTGGTATCTTCAATCAGCTGCAAATTTGTACCAGTAAGTAGTATATCATCCACATATAGTAAGATAGTAATAGTCTCATTTCCAGTTCCTTTGACAAATAGGGAATGATCATAGTGACTCTGATTGAAACCAAACTGTAACAATGTCGATGATATCTTAACATTCCACTGCCTTGGAGCTTGCTTTAGCCTATACAAGGATTTCAAGAGTCTGCAGGCTGGCCTTAACTCCTCCTGACTCTTAAATCCTTATGGCGGAGTCATGTAAATCTCATCATGTAGATCCCCCTGCAGGAAAGCATTGTACATATCCATTTGATGGATGTGCCAATGTGCAGCAGCAGCAGCAGCAATAGAGAGAATAGTCCTGACAGTCACCATTTTGACTACAGGAGAGAAAGTCTCTTTATAGTCAATACCTTCCTTTTAGCTATAGCTTTTGGCAACCAACCGTGCCTTGAATCTTTCAACCTCCCCTGAAGCTTTGTATTTCATCTTATAGATCCACTTACAACCTATAAGTTTCTTACCCTCATGCAAGCTTACCACAAATCATGTGTGATTGTCTTCAAGAGCAGTAATTTCAGCCTTCATTGCCTCTACCCATTTTGGATCTTTAATAGCTTCCTCATAGGAAGAAGGTTCAACTATAGTTGAAGTGGCTTCAATATAAGTCTGATACTTAGGAGATAGTGTGTCATAGGACAAGTAGTTTGAGATAGCATAGGGAACATCTTTGTGATTGTTGAGAGAAACAAAGTCTTTCATCCAAATGGGAGGTTGTTTAGTTCTAGTGGACTTCCTCAGTGTAGGATTAGTGTCTTGTGTAACTAAATATACAGAGGTGCTCTGTGAACTGGTGGTGGTGTCAACACATCTGGATCTAATAGGATTTCCCACATCAGGTGACTGACAGACCCTCTGTGTGAGATCTTCATTCTCCACCTCTATAGCTGCAGGATCATTGAGGGTGTGAGCAATCCCAGGAGGTTCAGAGTGATATGAACTAGAATGGGAATCAACAAATAAAGGTGGTGGAACAGATTTGGTGCTGGAAAATGGGAACACTTCCTCTCTGAATGCCACATCCTTGCTAACAATAAAAGAATGAGAAGTAAGGTCATACAAGATATAGCCCTTTTGAGTAGGAGAATATCCCATATGTACTGTAGGGTTAACTCTGGATAAAAGCTTGTCTGCCTCATGGACCTGTTTTGCATAACATAAGAAGCCAATTACTCTTAAGTGGCCAAGATCAGGCTTCTTAGCATACAACCTCTCATAGGGAGAAACTCCATCCATAAGGGGAGAAGGCATTTTGTTAATGAGGTACACAGCTGCAAGGACACACTGCCTCCAAAACTTGATTGGTATATGTACTTGGAACCTAATAGCTCTGGTCACCTCTAGAATATATCTATGCTTTCTCTCAGCTACGCCATTTTGTTGAGGGGTGTAGGCACAAGTTCTCTGATGCACAATTCCAAGAGTCCTGAATAGACCTGCATAGATTGAATTAACAAACTATGTGCCATTGTAAGATCTGACTATCTTCATTATCTTTTGAAACTGAGTTTGAAGAAAGACAAGGAACTGTTGTAGCACAACACATATATCAGATTTGAGGCGTAAAAGAAAAATCCATGTCATTCTAGAGAAGTCATCAATAACAGTCAAGAAAAATCTGTTTCCATCAAATGTAGCAGTTTTATAAGGTCCCCATACATCAAGGTATATCAAGTAAAAATAAGTAGTACTCTTAATGCTAGTAGAAGGAAATGGCACTCTAGTTTGCTTAGCACAAAGGCAAACACTGCACTTATTTAGTGTAACTACTATGCTTTCCAAGCTGAGTGGCAGTAGTTTCTTTAGTACTTTAGTTGATACAGGGCCAAGCCTTCAATGCCATAGAGTTATATCTACAGCTTCTCTTCCTTGAGCTGCTAGTGTAAATGCCTTAATGGTTCTTGCATTATGTTTGAGCAATAGGTACAACCCATTATCCTCCTTACCAATCGCCTTCACCTTCCCATTGGAGAAATCCTGAAACACATAAAAATCAGGATAGAAGTAGGCAGAACACCATAGATCCTTGGTTGCCTTAGACATTGATAGAAGGTTATACTTGAATTATATATGAAATACATTCATGAGGCAGTTATTAGCGGATATAGAACTAGTTCCAATATAAGCTACATGAGTAATGTCTCTATTTGGTAGAAACACTTTCTTAGGCACAATAGGTTCACTAATTGAATACTTATTGATCAAGTTAATATCAGTTACCATATGGTTTGTGGCTCCTGTATCAATGATCCAATCTGGCTTACTATCAGACACCAAGAAAATACTACTTTTACCTGTTGTATTGGCACTAGCAGTTGAAGGGGAAACCTTGTGCAAGAGTTGTACAATTTGATCATACTGCTCCTTGGTAAATGTACATGCACCAAGTTGAGGGTTCTGATTCTGAACACCTAGATGAGTGGCTTGAACCTCTCTTTGAGCAGGCTGAGTCTCCATGTACTGTCCAATCACCTGAGCTGACATTTTTTGAGTTGGAGAATGTACATGGATTGAACTAGTTTCAGTTATTGCATTGTATGCACTAGAGCCACCAACTCCCCATTTCTTCTTGTATTTGAAGTCTGATGGATACCCTACTATTTTGTAATAATTTTCCTTTGTATGTCCTTTCATCTTACATACCTCATAGTAGAGATTATAATTTTTCCTAAACTTTTGATTTCCTCTAGTTTTAGAGCTATACAAAGCAGTAGAATCATATCTTCCTGAGTTTATATTAGGAGGGGAAACACCCAGAATACCAGAGTTAGCAACAATAGCCTTTTGGTTTTCATCACTCATAAGCATAGCATATGCTTGATTCACAGTAGGTAATGGGGACATGAGTAAAATCTGACTTCTAGCTTGATAGTTGGCATTTAAGCCCATGGAAAATTGATACAGCTTCAGTCTTTGGAGAAACACCACAAAATCTTTAGACTTAGGGCAGTCACAACCAGGTAGTGGCACTAATGCCTCAAATTCATTCCACAGATCTTTTAATTTTGAGTAATAAGTAGAAATGGATAGAGTACCTTGAGTTAGGGTTGCAATGTCAGTATGTAAATTGAAGGATCTAGAGCCATCAACTTTATCAAATCTCTCACGTAACTCCTCCCAGACTGTTTGAGCATTCATAGTATATGCAATTCCACTAATCAAGTTCTGAGCAACATAATTCATTAACCAGGACAGTACTATTGCATTGCACCTATCCCACTGGTACCAATACTTCTCACGAAATCGTTCCCTCTTCCACTTGCCATCTACCATTCCTAGTTTGTTACGACCGAGTAGAGAAATTCACATTGATCGATACCACAAGGAATAGTTATCCGTACCTGTCAATTGAAAAGAAATTAAAGAGATTCCACTAGTATCACCAGGAGCGAGGTATAATGGATAATTGGGTAGAATTGTGATTCCTTCTTCAAATTCATCGTCTGATGACATCTGAGAGGTAATTTCTGGTGTGACAGTTGTGGCTTCGTGACTGAGATCCTCAGTCGCTATTGTTGAGCAATTTCAATTTCAGTTGAAAATTTTTGGAGCTTGAAGAATTGATGCAAAGATGAAGAGAGATTTATAGGAGAAGAATAGGATCAATTCATGAGCTTGGAGACGAAACTCTCTGGTCTGATACCATGCTGAGATCCCTGCATTAATGGCGGAATGATACCCTATATTTAGAGAGGAGAAGAAGAAGAAGAAGAAGAAGAAGAAGAAGAAGAAGAAGAAGAAGAAGAAGAAGAAGAAGAAGAAGAAGAAGAAGAAGAAGAAGAAGAAGAAGAAGAAGAAGAAGAAGAAGAAGAAGAAGAAGAAGAAGAAGAAGAAGAAGAAGAAGAAGAAGAAGAAGAAGAAGAAGAAGAAGATAGCAGAAAATGTTTCAGAGTGTTGAAGAAAATGAACTGTTCCATTCATCTGTAAAATGAGTGAGAGCTAGCTTATATACAATATTTTACTAAACTAACTCACTGACTAATAACCGACTATAAGTACAATTAAATAAACTAAACTATCCCTGTATATTTCTATACACAGCTAAGTCACTTCTTGCTTCTCAACAATTCCTCTACAAACACACGTAAGTACATAAATAGAAAAGAACCAATAAGTGCAGACAAAAGAATCATAGGGAAAAAAAAGGCCTGTTTCATTGGTAATTAGGTAACAATAGTTCATTCTGCTTCTTCTTTTGGTTATTCGTGTCTATTAGTTTCTCTATACTTTAACCAATTTAAAACAATGCTTTACTTAACCTATGTAACATTTTTTACTACTTATTTTTAAACAAAAGTACAACTAATTTTTCGAAAAACATCATAGATATTTCTTATCAACTATGAAAGACAGGATTTAACCTTAACCACTAGGGAAGCCCCATCAAATTCTAAAATATGCAATAAAAAAGTGCAGTAGACACAAAAATATACCAAAAATAGAATAAATAACAACTCAAAACGTTGCATCATACTCTAAAAATATATCAAAAATAGCAGAAACTACAAAAATATATTGTTAGATGTGAGTTCCCGCTAAATTCCTCCTTTTTTATAGGTCTAATCAAATCTAAGAGACAAAGTTCCTTAAATATTTGACTTTGAGACCAAAAGTGTTGAATTATGGCAAATGTGATGGACTAAAAAAAATTAAGAGCATACTTAAGGGGACTACTGTGAACCTATACTCAAACATAAAGTACCATTTTTGTCATTTTCTGGTGATTCATACCTCTCATAAAATTTATACAAGGTATAAGCTTTTGATCGTTTGGTTGAGAAACAAGTTACCCCATTATTAATTATCTAGGAATTAGTTATTTTGTGATTAGTTATCCACCCTCCTATAGGGATTAAAAAATACTATAATTTCGGAATAACTAATTCCGGAATTAGTTATACCATAATTGTATCCCAACTAAACATAATACAAATACATCTCAAATTTAATCCCGGGATTAATTCCCTTATCCCACGTACCAAACGAGCCCTTAGTAATCTTCATTTCCTCCTGCGTCGGCTATGAGAAATCATCTCCCCCCCTTCCGACGAACAGACCTTCAATTTCAAAGGTACCTACCAACCTATTCGTCCTTCACTCCAATTTTTATTTTTATTTTTATTTTTGGTAACTATTTAACTAATATAACTTCAAATTATGAGGAAAATATATATTGAGGCAGTGAATATTTTTCGAATTTCCGGACTCGATGTTTGATTGTATATATAGATTTTTCTTTCTATTTTTGTTCAAACAACTAAAAATTTGTTCCTATTATCCTCCATCTAAGCTAATTCCCTTAGTCCGAAAATGGCGATAATGAGGCTACAGAGAGTACGGGATTTCTTTCAAGGGTGGTTTGTGAATTTCTCTTAGAACATTCGAGAAGAGAATGACAAAAGATGTTCTTATTTCATAATGAGCTTATAATGTATACATATATACAGTGCAAATTTAATCAACCGACCTAACCTACAACTGTCACCCAAATGTCATATGCACAATAGAATCAACTAACTTCTAACAACCTACTAACCTCTACAGTTAACTCCCTTAACCACAGTTAAGTCCTAACCACTAACTATTCCAACACTTCCCCTCAAGCTGAAGGGTGTAAAACATTAATCACTTCCAGCTTGCTTAGTAAGAAACAATGTTGCACTTTCCCTGAACCTTTTGAGAGTAAATCAGCATGTTGATTTTTGGTCCCAATATGATATACTACTATCTTCCCTTCCTTGATCTTGTCTCGCACAAAGTGGTAATCGACCTCTATATGTTTTGTCCTCTCGTGAAATATAGGATTTGCTGCAATATGCAATGCAGCCTTGCTATCACAGAATAAATCTACAGGTTTCTCGATGAACACCTTTAATTTTGAGAACAGTCCTAACAACCAAGTTATTTATGTTGTAGCTGTTGCTAAACTCCTGTATTTTGCTTCTGCAGAGCTTCTTGAAATTGTCTGTTGTTTCTTCGATTTCCAGGATATTAGGAACTCCCCAAATTTTACTAAGAACCCAGTCACTAATCTTCTTGTGTTAGGGCATGCTTCCCAATCAGCATCACAGTAGCAGGTTAAAGTATCTGACTGTAGACTGCTCATAAGTATTCCTATTCCTGGATCTTTCTTGATGCACTTTACCACTCTAACTGCTACATCCCAGTGAGATCTCTTGGGTGCTTGAATAAATTGACTTAGAGTCTGTACGACATAGCTAATATCTGGTCTGGTAATTGTTAGGTAAAGCAATCTCCCAATGATCCTTTGATAGGCCGATGCATCAGGTAGTGACTCATCTCCTCTTGCACCCGTATGTTGATCATACTCTTGTGAAGTGAATCTCTGATTCAAATCAACAGGTGTTGCTGCTGGCTTAGTTCCTCCTAATCCCATATCTGACACTAATTGCAATGCATACTTTCTTTGATTTAACACGATTCTCTTTCTTGATCTCATGATCTCTATTCCAAGAAAGTACCTCAATTCTCTAAGGTCTTTCACTTTGAACTTATGATGTAGTACATTTTTTGTCTCCTTTATGAGACTTTCATCATTCCCTGTTATTAACAAATCATCCACATATATCAAGACTGTCACAAAGCTATCTCCCCTACTTTTAGTAAACATAGAATAGTCATATAAGCTCTGTTTGTAGTCTGATTCTATTAATGCCTCACTAAGCTTTATATTCCATTGCCTTGAGACTTGTTTAATCTCATACAATGATTTCTTCAATCTACAAACCTTTGACTCCCCCTACTTTCTGAATCCCTGAGGAAGCTCCATGTACACCTCTTCATATAGATCTCCTTGCAAAAATATATTATAGACATCTATTTGATACAAGTTCCAACCTCTTGATGCTGCCAATGCAATCAGTGTTCTAACTGTCACCATTTTTGCAACAGGTGAAAAGTCTCATGGTAATCCAATCTTTACTTTTGGTTATACCCTTTGCGACCAATCTAGCATTATATCTTTCTACATCTCCATTTGACTTGTATTTTATCTTGTAGACTCATTTAGATCCAATTGCATTCTTGCCTTTTGGTAGGTCTATTTTTCTCTCATGTATCATTGTCTTCTAATGCTTTAATTTCAATTTTCATTGCATCAATCCAATTTTCATCATGAGATGTTTCCTTGAAGTTTTTAGGTTATGTGAGGGCTGATTGTTTGGCCAAGTAGCTCTTATATATTTCTGACACATGGTCATAACAGATGCAGTCTGCTAAAGTGTGTAGTGTTGCTCCATTTGCCTTCTTGCTGGTCACAAAATCTTGAAGCCACAGTGGTGTTTTAGCAGTCCTTGCTGACTTTCTCAAGGTTTGTGTTGTGTGATCAGTGTCGGTAATGCCTTCAAAAATATTTGCAGGTGTGTCTGTAATTGTAGAAGCAGCTTCACCTTCAGTCACTGCATGAGTATCCTCAGCTTCAACTTCAGTCATTGCATGAGTATCCTCAGCTGGTTCAGAATTATTATTGACAATATCATCTACTGGTTCATTGTGAGTAGTATCAGCTTCACCCTCAACAGGATATATATGGTTAACAGATCCATCGGGGATAATGCTAATACTCTCAGATCCTTCATGATTGTCAACTGAGTATGCTTCCTCATATAATTCATAGTCCACTGCTTCATGATCTTGCAATCTCCCCTGTCATGAGCTGTGGAGGAGTAACCAATAGATGAGGAATAGGGGAACTTGGCAGCCCGTTGAAAAGGAAATATATGCTCCTTGAATACCATATCTCAACTAACAAACAATTGCTTAGTCTCAAGATCTAACAATATGTAACCCTTTTGAGTAGCTGAATAACCTAAGAATACAACAGCCTTGGCTCTAGTGGTAAACTTGTCTCCTTTGGGCAGATTCACAGCATAACACAGATATCCAAACACCTTCAGATGTGCAAGAACATATGGTCTGGCATATAGAACCTAAAAAAGACTCATTCCACTTAAAACATCAGTTGGCAACCTGTTGATGAGATACACAACTGTATCTATGCATTCTCCCTGGAATTTGGTTGGAATGGTGCCTTGGAACTTCAGTGCCTTGCTACATCAAGAATATGCCTATGTTTGCGCTTCACAAATCTATTTTGTTATGGAGTATAGACACAACTACTTTGATGTAGAATGCCATATGATTCTAGTAAACCAGTGCATGGGTGATTAAAAAATTCAGTTCCATTGTCTGTACGAATGATCTTTATAATTGCATTAAAGTGAGTTCTTATCATAGCAAGAAATACTTTCAGTATAACAAACATATCACTCTTAAACTGCAACAAATATATCCAAGTGAATCTAGACATATCATTAACTATTGTCAGAAAGAACTGCTTCTTATCATGAGTAGGAATTTTTTAGGGACCCCAGACATCCATGTGAAGAAGCTCTAATACAGACTGACTCCTAGATTGACTATCAGGAAAAGATAATCTGCTTTGTTTGGAAAGAGGCCAGATAGAACAATCACTATTTACATTGACATCACTCAATCTATTTTGCAAAGATTTCACATTTTTCATGGTGCTTATTGAAGCATGCCCAAGTCTCATATGCCATAATATGCTATCCTTTTTATGCTGTGTTACAGCTACATTTATCACTGACAGTTGCATCTTCTTATTTGAATCTTTCTTGACTATGTATAGTCCTCCCTTTTCTCTACCAATCCCCCTCACCCTGCCACTGTAAAGGTCCTGAAATACACAGAAATCAGAAAAAAAATTGACAGAGCAAGAGAGCTTCTTTGTCAGTTTTGAAACTGATAACAGGTTGAACTTAAAGTCTTGAACATAAAGTACATTGTGTACTCTCATATTTTCTAGGAATTCTGCTATTCCTTTATGTGTTATAGTGGACTTTCCTTTAGGTAGGTTAACCTGTTCTTTATTACACGATCTTAGCTTAGTTTTACTTTGTAATGTATCTAGACTAGCAGTAATATGATACGAAGCCCCTCAATCGATTATCTATTCCTCACAATCTAAGTCCGCCATAAAAGACGTTATACCTGCCATGTTCACATGTGGCTCAGTATTTTCTTTGTTTAACATAGTGAGAATTTGATCATATTGCTCCTTAGTGAAGAAAGGTTTGTCACCTGTGTGCCTAAAGCTTGATTCATCATCCACTGATAGAGTCCTTTTGTTTAAATCAGAGTTACTAATCACATTGTTGGCCACAAATTTCTTCCTTCCTTTGAAGTTTTATGGATAACCAACTAGTTTGTAACAATTTTCTTTCAAGTGACCTTTCATGTTGCAATGTTCACAGTACATGTAAGGTTTCTTTCCTTTGTATGGTTGTCCTAGTCCAACTTGCATTGCCATTGGATTAACCTTTCCTGCTGAATTAAAGCTGGACCTCTGACTTTCATCTTCGATTATCATTGCATAGGCTTGATTCAAGGTAGGTTCTACAGTTTTTATTAAGATCTGCCTCCTCGGTGCCTCATAGGACTCATTTAGTCCACTTAAAAATTGAAGTAGCCTCTGTCTATGAAGATGCTCTATATAATCCTTCGGTTTTGGACAATCACATCCTGGTGAAGGTACCATGGCATCGTACTGTCACGATCTAAAATTCCTAACATATCGTGATGACTCCTATCTCAATACTAGGCAAGTCGACAACATCAATAACCCACGATTTCCTTTAAGTTTGAAAACATAATGTTTAAATACAATACCAAAAATCTCGTAAATTCCGATACAAGCACTCCCAAAATATGATGTCACTGAGTTCATGAGCATCTATAAATTATAAGTCTGGAAAACATAATCTATAATAATCTGAGACCAAATACAATAAACAAAATGATAGGGAAGGAGAGACAAGGTCTGCGAAACATGACAGCTACCTCTAAATCTCCGAAAAATCAACTGTGTGAAAGAATCAACACCCACTGTATTCGGGATCACCTTGATCTGCACATAAAGTGCATGGTGTAATATGAGTACAACCAACTCAGCAAGTAACAATAATAAATAAAGAACTGAAAGTAGTGACGAGCTTTACAGCTAAGTCCAAATACAGTGATTTTCAACATAAAGGGTAGGCATGCTCTCAAGTTCAACATTTTAAATTCCACAGTAATTTCATATCAATTCCGACTGAGATAGGAGAAAATGTCTTTTAGAAATTTTTCCAAAACAGTCATATATGACAGCTGAAATGTAGCAATAATGAAATCAATGCATCATCTCATAGTAATAGCCACTCAGTCCTCCCATTCACTCCAACCTCACAGTCACTCTTTCCTCACAGCCATTTATTCCTCACAGTCACTCATTCCTCTCAATTACTCAGCACTCGGAACTCGCACTCAGTAGGTATCTGCGCTTACTGGGGGTGTGTACAGACTCTGGAGGGGCTCCTTCAGTCCAAGCGCTATAACAAGCCAATCATGGCATAAATCAATGAAACATGTTGCGGCATGCGGCCCGATCCCATAAATATCCTCACAATTAGGCCCTCGGCCTCACTCACTCATCAACATTTCCAGTCTCTCAGGCTCTCAAAAATCATGATAAGCAGCCCAACAATAATGATATGATGCATCAATAATGAACAAGAGAGACTGAGATGTAATATGCAAGTAAAATCATGACTGAGTATAAAATAGTAATTTAATAGATAATTCAACATGTACACGACCTATGTGGTTTACAATAGTGTCAACACGTGGTTTAACATGATTCATAGTTCAATTTTCCTAATACGTGAAAAATGTACGGGTATCAACAGATTATTCAACTACACAATTCTATGGAATTGACCAAGTCACAATTCCTATGGTGCACGCCCACAAGCCTATCACCTAGCATGTACGTAACCTCAAAACCAATCACATAACACATAATCCGGGGTTTCATATACTCAGGACCAAATTCAGAATGGTTACTTATCTCAAACCGTGTAATTCTTTATTCCGCTATGCCCTTGCCACGAGAATTGGTCTTCGAAAGCCTCATATCTTGCCACAATTAATTCGATTCAGTCAACACCAATTATTGTAATTAATTCCATAAAGAAATACTAATTTCTCCAATAAAATCTGAAATTTAACTCAAAAATCGCTCGTGGGCCACACATCCCGGAATCCGACAAAAGTTACAAAATATGAACGCCCATCCAACCACGAGTCCAACCATACAAATTTCACCAAATTCCGACATCAACTCGACCCTCAAATCTTCAATTAAAATTTATGAAAATTTCTACTATTTTCAACCCAATATTTACCTATTTGAACTCAACAATCTTTCAACAACGTAATTCGTACGTGTATATATAAATGATACTCTTACACCCAAGAATCATACTCTTAATCTCCCATTTTTTACCCCAAAAATCGAAATTGAAGAATTGGGGGAATAAATTCTTACCTCTTTGAAGCCCTAGCAAGATCCTTGTGAAATCTTCAAACATTGAACAAGAATTGATGGACAAATGGCTTGGTCTTCACTTTCTCTCTCTAAGATGTTCTCACATCCCTCTAAAATATCATATGAAACCCTTCAAAATGACCCCCAATAGTGTTTTATAAGAATGGGGTCAGGTTTATAAAACCATAAAAATGAAGCACCAAACATACTCTGCGGTCGGATATGCGATCGCATAATGCTTCTGCGGCCCGCATAATGGTTCGCAAAAATGACCTCCGGAACTGGGCAACTAATTCTGTTTTTCAATCTCAAACACGTATGCCTCCTCCAATGCATCCATCTTCAGGATCTACCCCTGCTCATTTCTTGAACCACCCTGTATCTAGTGGACAAACAGTCATGCATAATCTCTCACATAATCCAACTCCTGGAAGTTCTCTTAATATTAATTCTATGAGACCTCCTTCCTCTGGAACTCCAAAACCACTGCA